AAAGCTTAATTATGATGGACAGGAGGCCTGTCCTATGACTGCAAACAGATAACAGAAAGAAAAATAAAGTTGGAGCTCCTGGTACAGCCATACCAGCACAGAAAGAGTTTGGTGGGTATTGACCTTTGGTTTTGGACTTGTAGTTCACCTACATCCATAGATCACTGTGGACTCAAACAATGATGGATCTGGACCAAATTTGGCACAAATACACAATATGCCAATATGTGAAAACTGGTAGAGTTTGGGGAAAATGGACCTTGGCATTTGGGTGTTGTAGTTGCTGGGATTTATAGTTCACCTCCCACACAGAACACCCATGTGGGCCACAGCAACGTGTGGCAGGGGATGGCTAGTCTATATAAATAAAAATGTAATGTTCGTTTGTGGGATTAACATAACTCAAAAACCACTGGGCAAATTGAAACCAAATTTGGACACAATACACCTATCAGGCCAACGAGTGACCATCACTCATAAAAACACTGAAAAGCACAGACTCTTCCCCGTGAGCCTCATGGGATCCTTGTTGTTGCTAGTGTCTTGGCAAATTGACCAAAACTTAACTCCTTTGTGCAGTCTGGTAACCTTGCCCTTTGCAGAACTATAAGTTACCATCCTTTATTGGGGGGGGGGCATGCTCGACTTCAAGCAGGGCCCGTGCTTTCATGAACTGTGACTTTACAGCCAAGTCAATGACTACAGCTCCTTCTGACGCTCCCAAGGCGCCATCCCTCTCATGCTGCTCTGCCCTTTCGTTTTTGCCAAACAGGCACCCCCACTCCGAAGCACAAGTCCACCTCCAGTGTGTGCTTGAGCTGGAAGCGCCTTCTGTGTGTGTTGCTTCACGAGGGATGCTTATTTTTATGTCCTCAGAAAGAAACGGAAGGCGAGAAAGGGATCATTAGCTGCCGAGCAGCTGCAGGCAACAGATGAGGCCGGCCCTTCTCTCAGCCTGGCATTTAGCACACTTATCCCAGACATCAATTCACATTTCCGTGATAATCTTTCTTTTAGCAGAGGCCGGGAGGGGAGAAAAAGGCTAATGCCTCCAAGTGGTGCGTGAAATCGTGAAATACGACTTTGGGCTGCTGGTTTTGTGGGAGTTGCCAGGTAGCAACTCCAGTTAAGCCGGAGTTATTGAGTCGCTGACGCACAATCATTTGAATGTCTAAGGGCTCAGGCTTAACAGACTGGGAATCATCCTTTTAATCCTATCAGCTGCTACCTGATCCTTTTAACTCGAGATAGAAGGTATTGAGCCTTCTCTAGGAAAAGCAGGTGTGCAGCCACAGTCCTTGGGAATCATCCCTTTCAACGCAATGTCTTTGTGTCTCTTTATAGTTCTGACCAGGGCAACGGGAGACTCAATCTATATAAATAAAAATGTGATGTTTGTTTGTGGGATTAACAGAACTCAAAAACTGTTCTGTCGTGCGCTGGGCCTGTAAAGAATTTCCTTTAGGACAGGACATGCAACCTTTGCCCAGCGGGAAGCCAGGGGGCCCAAAGAGAAGTTCTCAGAGGTTTTCCACCACAAATAGTCTTTAGATGGCTTGTGAAGTATAACAAAGTCTTTTATTAATGAACAATCAAACCGAAACTTCTCTTGTCTTCAGAAAGTTAAACAAATGAATCCAGGTTTTTATGCAACTGGTAGCTTCCTAATCTTGCCCACGAAGGACGGGCAACTGTCTTCAATAACTTCTTCAAACAAAGTCTTTTATTAATGAACAATCAAACAGAAACTTCTCTTGTCTTCAGTAAAGTTAAACAAATGAATCCAGGCTTTTATGCAACTGGTAGCTTCCTAATCTTGCCCACGAAGGACAGGCAACTGTCTTCAATAACTTCTTCTTTACTTTAAAGGAAAATCCCCATTTTAACTTCTCCCAGGCTGACTGTAATCTAACCCTTACTGATGTGGGCTCTGCTACCGGGTCGAACTGCTTCTCAAATGCCGAGTGGACCTACCAGTAAAGGCTTAGATGTTCTCCAGCTGGAGTTCTTTGGTCTTTAGGGCTGTTTCCCTGGAAATCTTTGGAGACTCTTAAAACTGTTCTCCCCCGGAGATTCTTAGGGGTTGAAGCTTTTGTACAGGGGAAGCTTACACACGTCCTGTACACTGGCTTTCCTTGCTGAGACTAACTAAAAAATGGCTCCCTTCCCTTCCCAATTGCCCTGAGCAAGGGGCGGGACCAAACTTAACAATGATGGAGAGGTGACTTGCCCTATGACTGCAACCAAAGGAAACCACCTATCTGCAGAATCCCAGGAACCTTGGACTGCAAGCAAACATTTAATACAAAGCAAATTAATTTGGAGCTCTTGGTACAGCCGTACCAGAACAAAAACTACTGGACGAATTGACACCTAATTTAGACACAATACACCAATCAGGCCAACGAGTGACCATCACTCATAAAAACAGTGGAAAACACAAAGGAAGGGACTTTAAAGGCCAAAAAAAAATAAAAAAAATACATTACAACGCATGTGCAAAACAACACACACACACACACACATATATATTAGGGCTGGGCGGTTTCGTTTCGTAATTTCGTAATTCGTTAAAAATTCGTTTTTTTATAACGAAGCGATATTGAACCATTCAGGAGCAACTAAAAAACAAAACGATTTTTTCCAATTCGTTTCGTAATTGTTTCGGAATTGATCTGTTATTGATTCGTTATTGATTCGTAAATGTTTCGTTATTATTTCCGCATGTCTGGTGCAAGTTTTAGGGTTGCTGTTTGTTTTCTCAGTGAAAATATATATAATTATCACACCAACAGTCAACAACAGAGGGAGAGGGAAGCTTCAGAAGTTTTTTTAGCGTATTGCGCGATCGCGGCCGCCATTAACGAATCGATTCGTAATCGATCCGTAATTGTTTCGTAATTGTTTTATGATTTCCGAAATTTCGTAAATATCGAACTTTTTTCAAGGAAAATTTCGGAATTCTTTTAAATAACGAAACGCAAAAAAAACCCTAAAAACGAATCGAGTTTAGAAACAAATTTTTCCGTGTTTGGACAGCCCTAATATATATACATACACACGTGTACGCAAACACACATATATACACATAAACATAAATACAAACACACAAAAACACATATACACAGACTGGGCAACAGCAACGCGTGGCAGGGGACGGCTAGTCTATATAAATTAAAAATGTAATGTTTGTTTGTGGGATTAACAGAACTCAAAAACCACTGGACGAATTGACACCAAATTTGGACACAAGACACCTAACAACCCAATGTATGTCCTTCACTCAAAAAATTTGATTTTGTCATTTGGGAGTTGTAGTTGCTGGTATTTATAGTTCACCTACAATCAAAGAACATTCTGAACCCCAACAACGATGGAATTGAACCAAAGATCCTTCGGGAGATGGTAGCGGGGTACACATAAAGGTTTATTATTATTATTATTATTATTGCCTGGTATCAACGTGAAGCTGACCGGATTGTATGATAGATTGATAGATTGTATGATAGATTGATAGATTGTATGATAGATTGTATGATAGATTGTATGATTCTTGAAGATAGATAGGGACCACACTGGCCCTCCTCCAATCTGCTGGGACGTGTTCCATTCTCCCAGAACTCTCAAAGATTATTATTATTATTATTATTATTATTGTCGTGTCAGTAGCGACCTGAGAAACTGCAAGTCGCTTCTGGTGTGAGAGAATTGGCCGTCTGCAAGGACGTTGCCCAGGGGATGGCAGGATGATTTTTGATGTTTTATCATCCTTGTGGGAGGCTTCTCTCATGTCCCCGCATGAGGAGCTGGAGCTGATAGAGGATGCCCATCCGCTTCTCCCCGGATTCGAACCTGCGACCTGTCGGTCTTCAGTCCTGCCGGCACAGGGGTTTAACCTCCCTCTCAAAGATGATTGCCAATGATTCCAAAATGATTTCCGCCAGATCCTTCAATACTCTTGGATGTAGTTGTAGGTAACGGCTCTCCATGCAGTCCCGCCAGCCCATATGGATAACGGAAGTGTCTACGGACAACGCCAGCTCTTCGGCTTAGAAATGGAAATGATCACCACCCGCCAGAGTCAGACACAACTAGACGTAATGTCAAGGGGAAACCTTTGCCTTTACCTTATATTATTATCCAATAAATATTTCTTATTTATCTATTTTATTATTATCCAATAAATATTTGTTTATCTATTTTATTATCATCCAATAAATATATCTTATTTTATTATTATCCAATAAATATTTATTATTCATCTATAATAAATCCACTAAATATTTACTTAACTATTTATTATTATTATTATTATCATCGTCATCCAATAAATATATCTTATTCATTTTATTATTATTATGCAATAAATATTTATTATTCATCTATTTTATTATTATCCAATAAATATTTATTTTATTAAATATTTATATTTATTTTATTATTTTTGTTGGATAATAATAAAATAAATATTTATTAATCATCTTTTTTATTATTATCCAATAAATATTTATTATTTATCTATTTTATTATTATTATTATCTTCCTTCTTGACCTTAGTATCTACTACATATTTATCTATTTATTATTATTATTATTATTATTATTATTATTATTATTATTATTATTTTCTTCCTTCTTGACCTATTTCATTATTCTTGGTTCAGTTCCTGTTCAAAATGGACGCCCCCGTTGAGCCGCTCTCTCTCCTCAGTCCTCCACACTCTATGACCGACACATTTCTCCAATCTCTCACTATTATCCAGCCGGATAGGTTCAGTAACGGAGCATGCGCACTTCCGCCACGCATTCCATAGGTTCAGCAACGGAGCATGCGCACTTCCTCCAACCTGCGCACGCATTCCAGTCAGTAGCGAAAGAGGATGGGTTACTGAGAACTGGGGGTGGGAGACGTCACTTCCGCCACCTGCGCGCGCAACCGAGCCCAAACCAACGGGGCTGGGCCTCTCCCTGTGCCGTGCGCATGCGCACTCCTTCCTCGTCCCCCCTCCTCCCTCCCGCTTCCGGTCCCCGAGTTCCTTAGTAACAATGGAGCCTAAGATGGCGGCCTGAGAGGACGGAGGGCGAGAGAGGAGCCGGGGAAAGGAAGCAGGCGGACAGGGAGAAGGAAGGCCAGCCGCGTCGGGTCCGGCGGACGGAGAAGAGACGCGAGGAGGGAGAAGGAGGCCGCGGAGGAGGTGAGCAAGCAGGGCGAGGGAGGCAGACGGGCAGGCAGGCTTCGAGAGGGGACTAGGCCGCATCCCTTCCTTCCTTCCTCTGCGTTTCCTGCTTGGTGCGGCCTTCAGGGGAATGGCCTCCATACAATCCCCACACAGCCCCACATTCTCTGCTTTGAACCGGATTATATGGCCGTATGGACTCATTTGGTCCAATTCAAAGCAGGCATTAATGTATGTACATATAACTTGTAAGCTGCTCTGAGTCTCCTTCGGGGAGGGAAGGGCGGCATACAAATGTCATTTTTTTGTCGTTGAGAAACTGCAAGTCGTTTCTGGTGTGAGAGGATTGGGCTGGATATCTGCCTTGATATCCTGGGAAATATGGCTGTGTGGAAAGGCCCAGACTCGGAGCCCACCTACACAGCCATAGAACATCAAGGCAGAGAATCTAGAACTGGGTTCCCTGAGTCCACACTGCCCTTTCTCCCAGGATCTGATCCCAGAGTATCTGATTTAAATTGGAATATAATCATAATCATCATAGTAAACTTTATTTTTTAACCCACCCACTTTCCCTGAGGGGACTCAGTGAGGCATCCCAAAAAGGAAAATGGCAAACATTCAATTATTATTATTATTATTATTATTATTATTATTATTATTATTATTATTATACACTAGGCTCCTTTTGATGCAGGCCAACATGCCATTGGCTTTTTTTGCCACCACATCACATTATCTGATTTAAACTGGAATAGAATCATCATAATAATAAACTTTATTTTTTAACCCACCCACTCTCCCTGAGGGGACTCAAGGAGACTTTCAAATAATAATAATAATAATAATATAAAAATAAAACTTTATTTGTACCCCGCTAGCATCTCCCGAAGGACTCGATGCGGCTTACAAAGGCCAAGGCCTCAACACACAATATAACAATACAAAACCTAAAGCAAATTAAAACAATTAAAGCAATATAAACAACAAGCAATAAACAATATACTAAGACACAATAAAACTGGGCCGGGCCAGAGTAATGGGTACAGGATTAAAAGTGCTGATGTGACAGGAGGTATGTAGGATTATAGGGTAAGTGCAGTGTGCGGTGTGCAGCAATCTTAGTTCTAGTAAAGTGCTTATGGGACTTGGTATGTGTGTGTGCCCCCCACACACACACACACACATATGATTCTGGCCATGAAAGCCTTCGACAATACATTAGTATTATATATTACTATATTGTACTATACCACTATACAGTAATATATTATTAGTAATATCTCATGTAATATAAAAATATAAATATTATATTGTAGTATTATTATTATTATTATTAGTATTATATTGTATTACATTATAATATTATCAGTATTATATGTGTATACAATATATTATATTATTAGCACAGCACAATATTAGTATTATATATTACTATACTGTAATATACCGCTGTACTGTAATATTATTAGTAATATTACATGTAATATATTGTATTATTAATATTATATTATATTGTATTACATTATAATATCAATATTATATATGTATGTGATATAATATTAGCACAGCACAATATTAATATTATATATTACTATATTGTTGCTGGGGGGAGGAGTTTCCAACTGATGGCCCAGGAGACATGGTAGAACTCTGTGTGTGTGTGTGTATTACAGACAATGATCAGCACCAAAAAATGTACAAACATCAAAATGGGGGTGCCCCACTCTCTGCAGCCAGCCCCAGTTAGCAATCTGGCTGCTGCTCTTTGGAATAGCAGAAGTTTCCAAATGCTCTTCAGAGACAGACCCACAGAGATCGCTTTATAGTCATCCAAGCGGGATGTAACTAAGCCATTATTGTTATTATTATTATTATTAAACTTTATTTGTACCCCGCTAGCATCTCCCGAAGGACTCGATGCGGCTTACAAAGTCCAAGGCCTCAACACACAATACAACAATACAAACCAAAGGCAAATTAAAAACAATTAAAGCAATATAAACAACAAGCAATAAACAATACACTAAGACACAATAAAACTGGGCTGGGCCAGAGTAATGGGTACAGGATTAAAAGTGCTGATGTGACAGGTGGTATATAAGGCTTATAGGGCAAGTGCAGTGTGCAGCGTGCGGCAATCTTAGTTCTAATAAAGTGCTTATGGGACTTGGTATTGGAGATTCCTAATCTGGAAAGGCACATCGGAACAGCCAGGTCTTCAAGTTCTTTCTAAAGACTGCCAGTGTAGGGGCCTGTCTAAGATCTTTGGGGAGGGTGTTCCAGAGTCCCGGGGCCACCACAGAAAAGGCCCTGTCTCGTGTCCCCACCAAACGCGCTTGCGACACAGGCGGGATCACGAGCAGGGCCTCTCCAGATGACCGAAGTGAGCGCGTGGGTTCGTAGACGGAGATGCGGTCACACAGGTAGGATGGTCCCAAACCATTCAGGGCTTTGTAGGTAAGCACCTGCACCTTAAATTGGGCTCGGAAAATAAACGGCAGCCAGTGGAGTTCCTTGAACAGGAGGGTTGACCTCTCTCTGTAAGGGGCCCCAGTTAACATCCTGGCCGCTGCCTGTTGGACCAGTTGGAACTTCCGAGCCGTTTTCAAGGGCAGCCCCATGTAGAGCGCATTGCAGTAGTCCAATCTGGAGGTGACCAAGGCATGGACCACCCCGGCCAGATCAGCCTTCGCGAGGTACGGTCGCAGTTGGCGAACGAGTCTCAATTGTGCGAAAGCCCTCCCAGACACCGCCGACAACTGAGCCTCAAGCGTAAGCGATGAGTCCAGGAGGACTCCCAAACTGCGGACCTGTGACTTCATGGGGAGTGCAACCCCGTCTAGCACAGGTTGCCACCCTATACATGGACCGCTGTGGTAGATAGGTTTGGCTTGGTGAAAGACAGCCATGATTTAATATTTGAAAGGAGATCCCGTTGAGAGGAAAGGGATGAACTTGCTTTCTCCCGCTTCAGAGACTAGGACACGATGAAGCAATAATAATAATAATAATAATAATAATTCGGAAGTATCCATCGTGTGATCCAATACAACAGCCAGCAGAGTGTGTGCCGTGGACTCATCTTGTTGTGTTTCAAATAATAATAGTTATTTATTTATTTATCGTATCAGGAGCAACCAAACATTTGTATTACATTTTTAACCAAACAAACAAACAAACAGACAAAACACAAAGTTTGCCAGCTTGGTAGTTGATTAAATGTCCTTTGACCAGTATCTGGCCACTTGGAGTGCCTCTGGTGTTGCCGCAAAATAATAATAATAATACTGTTTCAGTCTTCAGATGGGTCTTAAATTCTGACAGCTGTGGGAGTTCTGCCAGCAGGTTGTTCCACAATCTTGGGGCGGCCGATGAAAAGGTCCTCTAGGTGATTGGTTGCCAGTTGGTTCTGGCCGATTTGAGAAGATCCCTTCCAAAGGGCTTCAGTGTCCAAAGGGGCAGGTTGTACAGGAGAAGATGATCCTTTAGGTAACCTGGACCCAAACCTTGTAGGGCTTCAAAGGTCAATACCAACACCTTGTACTGGGCCCGGAAACTAATTGGTAGTCAGTGGAGTGAATTTAGGATAGGTATAATATGCTCACTCCTGGATATTCCTGTAACCAGCCTGGCTGCTGTATTTTGAATCTACTGGAGTTTGTGAACGGTACAAGTCTAGCCCAATGTAAGGGGCATTGCTGAAGTCTAACCTTGAGGTTACCAGTGCATGCACTACCATCTTCATGTTCTCCAATTCTACGAAGGGGCACAGCTGGTGTATCAGCTGAAGCTGGTAGCAAACACCCCTGACTGTTGCATCAACTTGAGCTGACATTTGTAGTGACAGAACCAGGAACTATTGTCTCAAGCTGGGAATATTTATTTATTTATTACTTACTGTATATACTCGAGTATAAGCCGATCCGAATATAAGCCAAGGCACCTAATTTTACCACAAAAAACTGGGAAAACGTACTGACTCGAGTATAAGCTGAAGGTGGGAAATGCAGCAGCATAGATTCCAATACTATGAGGTATTAGTAGGTTAAATGTTTTTGAATATTTACATAAAACTGTAATTTAAGATAAGACTGTCCAACTCTGATTAAACCATGATACCAACCTTTTCCAGTGTAAATGTGCTTGCGTATCCTTCCAATAATAATAAAGAGAGTAAAATAATAAACGTAATTATGACAACAATAATAAAGTAAAATAATAAATGTAGTAATAATAATAGAGTAAAATGATAAATGTAATAATAATAATAATAATAATAGAGTTAAATAATAAATAATCTTGACTCGAGTATAAGCCGAATGGGACGTTTTCAGCCTAAAAAAGGGCTGAAAAACTAGGCTTATACTTGAGTATATACAGTATTTACTACATTTGTATACCGCTCTTCTCAGCTCTCCGGCGACTCAGAGCGGTTCACAATAGCAAAATTCAATGCTTAAAACATCATAAAACAGTTAAAAACAATTAAAACAAAAGAATTATAACAATAAATTAAGCATCATATAACATCTCATAGAGTCTTTCAGGGGGAGAGAGACCCCCCTCCGCATCCAGAACTGGTTGACAGGTCTCCACCCCCAGATTAGGACCTTTAATGTTTTGTCTGGATTCAGTTACAATTTTTTTTCTCATCCAGCCCATTACCTTCTGGAGGCATTCATTCAGAGGAGACACACTATCTGCTTTTGAAGGCAAGTAGGCATATTTTGAAGGCATATTTGGGTGTCATCAGCATATTGATAACTCCCTGCCCTATCCCTACAGATGATCTCTTCCAGCAGCTTCATGTATATCAGTGTTTCTCAACCTTCCTAATGCCGCTACCCCTTAATACAGTTTCTCATGTTATGGTGATCCCCAACCATAACATCATTTCCATTGCTACTTCATAACTGTAATTTTGCTACTGTTAGGAATCATAATGTAAATATCTGATATGCAGGATGAATTTTCATTTACTGGATCAAATTTGGCACAAATACCCAATATGCCCA